TAAAACCAAGCTTAATATTGACATGAGTAAAACCAAGCTTAATATTGACATGTTTAAAACCAAGCTTAATATTGACATGTTTAAAACCATGATTAATATTGACATGTTTAAAACCAAGATTAATATTGACATGTGTAATACCAAGATTAATATTGACATGTTTAAAACCAAGATTAATATTGACATTTGTAATACCAAGTCTGTGGGAAAGGGACATACTTAGACATGCAGTATTGAAAATTGTGTATACTATAGTAAATATATGTACTTTGATTAAGGTGTTTCAACTCTCAATAAAAAATTAACTTAACATTTTCCCAATGCAGTGAAAAACATATAAGATTGAAACAAAAACTTGAATGGCATCCGACACTGTTTTCAACTCTTAGATCAACAGTTTTGTAGTTTCTGAACAATCATAAAAGTTCCACTAAGGAAAACAACTTGCTAGTCTCCAGCTTCCCAATCCGAATCCCATGAAAGAATTAATCATCATCTGATTAACTGTCAATTAATTCCGTGACTTTCTGGTTATGACTGTATAGTACAGATATTAACCTGTGCAGTTCTTGAGGTTTCAGGATACTCCATTACATTCCATAAGTGGGATCTAAGACGACCTATCCGGGAGTTTCCAAAATCTTCATCTTTCAACCTGAAGTTTGTCAAACTTTGTAGAAAAATTTTAAATCAAAACATAATTTTCTTTTCATCAAATTCTCCGCTTTTATTTTGCAATGAATAATAATCTTTTCCTTAAAATGCATCAGTTTTCTAGATAAGCTGAAAATATTCATAAATCAAGTTTATTTTCAGGTTTGTTTAATTTTCCTTTGGGCTTCCTTCGCCTTTGCTTCCTGTTCTCCTTTCTGCTCCTTTACACACAGTTCTATCTCCGGGTAGTACTTGAGAGCACAGCAGGGTTCAAGGATCAGTTCATCTATCTGCCAGTACTCCAGGTCTTTCTAGACATAGAACAATAATGATGGGGAAATTCTGAACTTAAATCACGAAATTAAGGAAATCATGAACCAGATAAACAAGAAATTATTTTATTGTGATTTTTCTAACTTTTCAGTTAATTGATGACAATTATGTAAAAAGTGCATTTAATTTTTAGAGGTGGGAATAATATGTTTCTATCCATGTTAAAGACGGAGTATCTACCTTTTTTTACTGCAAGCTAATTCCACCAGACAATAATTGTAACTCTTCTGTATAATCATAATCTTATCTAATCTAGCATCATTGGTTTATATTCAATTCTGTTTTCTCTCCTGTTATTTACATTCGGATAGTTGTTTTTTACCTGTAGAATTAAATTAAGTACACGTGTAAATATCATCGTTTAGATCAAATAAACAGGTTCTCATAAATGGTTGTTTCCCTGTAAAACCAGAGCTGAAAACTTTAGAATTTTGGATTTTGAGATTAATGCTTGATCTCATCTTTTTAATAATCTCAAGATTAATTGAATCTTTAGTTTGTATCCAGAAAAGTGTATAAAATTCAACCAATCATGGAGATATCAAAAGTGTCCACAGTGGATATTCAGATTAAAATGTATCCAATTCTAAAGCTCTCAGTTCTCAGCTCACATATTGTAAAAATACGGTTTTTAGATGTTTGCAGTTTACCTGTAAAACCAGAACACACATATATTGCTGTTTAGATGAAAAGAACCGGGTTTGCAGATGTTTGTTTACCTGTAAAACTTGAACACACATATTGCTGTTTAGATGAAAAGAACCGGGTTTGCAGATGTTTGTTTACCTGTAAAACCAGAACACACATATTGCTGTTTAGATAAACAAATACTACTGTTTAGATGAAATAAACCAGTTTTGCAGATGTTTGTTTACCTGTAAAACCAGAGCACATATATCGCTGTTTCGGTGGAATAAACCAGTTTTGCAGATGTTTGTTTACCTGTAAAACTTGAACACACATATTGCTGTTTAGGTGAAATAAACCAGTTTTGCAGATGTTTGTTTACCTGTAAAACCAGAGCACACATATCGTTGTTTAGGTGAAGCAACCCCGTTCTGTAGATGTCAAGAATGGAATTGAATGAATGCCAACTTCTAAAAAAAAAATAATGATAAACTATTTCCGAATATTTCGTTGATTTTTTGTCAGTTTTAGTCAGTTTCGTATGATGATTAAGTTTTTTCTGATTTGGTAGGTTTAAAGAAATTGGGTTTTTGCCACAAACTCCGATTTTCCCATCCCTATATCTTTGCAACCCGATTGCGTAGACCTTTGATACATCAAACTATTTATATATCTATCCTTATATATATATATATATTTATCTATCATTCTATCTATCTATCTATCTATCTATCTATCTACCTGTCGAAGAAATATTCTGTAGGTTGACCGGGACAGAAATCATCACAAAGGTCAAGAATATCTTCCAGCTTCTTCGCTTTCACTAGTTTCCCGAGCCTTGTGTTTGGGTAGATGTTGAAGTTATCCACTAGAAATATTAAGGATTAGGAATAATAAAGATATATTAAAGGTATCCATTAGAAATATCAAGGATTAGGATATAATAAAGGTATATTAAAGGTATCCACTAGATATATCAAGGATTAGGATATAATAAAGGTATGTTGAAGTTATCCACTAGAAATATCAAGGATTAGGAAAAATAAAGATATATTGAAGCTATCCACTAGAAATATTAAGGATTAGGATATAATAAAGGTATATTAAAGGTATCCACTAGAAATATCAAGGATTAGGATATAATAAAGGTATGTTGAAGTTATCCACTAGAAATATAAAGGATTAGGAAAAATAAAGATATATTGAAGCTATCACTAGAAATATAAAGGATTCGGATATAATAAAGGTATATTGAAGGTATCCACTAGAAATATAAAGGATTAGGAATAATAAAGATATATTGAAGCTATCCACTAGAAATATCAAGGATTAGGATTAATAAAGCTATATTGAAGGTATCCACTAGAAATATCAAGGATTAGGAATAATAAAGATATATTGAAGCTATCCACTAGAAATATCAAGGATTAGGAATAATAAAGATATATTAAAGGTATCCACTAGAAATATCAAGGATTAGGATTAATAAAGGTATATTGAAGGTATCCACTAGAAATATCAAGGATTAGGATATAATGAAGGTATATTGAAGGTATCCACTAGAAATATCAAGGATTAGGATATAATAAAGGTATATTGAAGTTATCCACTAGAAATATCAAGGATTAGGATTTATAAAGGTATATTAAAGGTATCCACTAGAAATATCAAGGATTAGGATATAATAAAGGTATATTGAAGGTATCCACTAGAAATATCAAGGATTAGGAATAATAAAGGTATATTGAAGGTATCCACTAGAAATATCAAGGATTAGGATTAATAAAGGTATATTNTAGAAATATCAATGATTGGGATCAATAAAGGTATGTTAAAGCTATCCACTAGAAATATCAATGATTGGGATCAATAAAGGTATGTTAAAGCTATCCACTAGAAATATCAATGATTGGGATCAATAAAGGTATGTTAAAGCTATCCACTAGAAATATCAATGATTGGGATCAATAAAGGGATGGCTCACTTATTTAAAAATACGTATATAATACTCAAGTATGCACACATGAGACCAATTATTTCTCATCATACTTCATCACATCAACTGATTAATTGTGTGAAAAATATCGTTCAGGTTTCCCCCCCGAAATTTTTAATAGATAACCGGACAATGTTTCTTCAGAGTCTTGCTAAAAATCCAAACTAGAGAAGCTACAAGGTCACAAAGTCCTTTAAAATTGACCTATTTAAAAAAAAGACACCCACGAAATCGACTTCTTGCACCTAGATCTAACCAGGGGAAGATACGTTTGGTTTCTGCTATTTGAATTCTATCATTTTCAATTCAACAATCAGTAAACTTGTCTTTTAATACTTTTTCATTTATGTAGCATCCACCAACAAAAGATCGTATAAAATCGTAAAATCGTAAAATTTATGTTTAACAGGTCGGATTGGGATTGAAAGCAACAGCTTGCTGGCAAATAGACTGAACTGTTAAATCTGCGGAATCTCAAACCCGCCCCCTGATTTCAATCTTAAATATCATCAAGATATTTATCAATATCATGATGTTTTATTGATGTTTATGAAGACTATGTGTTCTGTGATTAACTGTCTGTAGTATTTATGTATAATAAACAAGCTTAAAAGGAAATAGAAGATGAAGCGCTATGATTAGACCAACTGTGGGAAATTTTTTTTTCTGGATTCAGACATATTTTTCCCGCCTTCTGGTGCAAACATCCAAATCAAATTAAATAATCTTATCTGAGGTTTAATTGGGTTTCCCAAATATCAATCCTTGCCAGCACTATTAGTCTAACACCCGGAGCTAGGTTCACGATTTTAGATTTTAGGAAACTTCAACCCTTTAACCTTTTAGAGAGATCTTAAAAACAATCTGGAAAATCATCATGTTTCCAAATGAAATATATTATTTGAATTTCGGAATTAATATTGTTTTATTGGCCAAAACAATTTGGTCGTGATAAAAACTTCCGGGATTTTCGTAAAATTTATTTCGTCCGTCTAAATGGTGGCCTTACAAGCTTCTATAAATTAAAAAAGAACCGGGCAGACTTGATTCGCAAATATACCTTGAAACCGTCATCTGATCATTTATCTAGCTTAAAAAGTGTAGACGTAATATCAAGGGACCCTCGCATCTATAGATTGGCATATATCAAGGGACCCTCGCATCTTTATAGATTGGGATGTCCGAATCAAATTTGGATGTGATCGCTACTAATTTACTTATATCTGACTAAACCGTATTTATAAGTGATCATGGAAATATTACAATAAAGAAATTCTGAAAATTACTCTGGTCATTCAAACGGGGTATAAAATAACCTACTATTTTTTATCTTTAGGAGGGCAATATTTTCAATCAATTAATCGTACTCAACTCTTTACTCATGCGCGACTGATCGAGAATGCCGCGCATCTATAATATTTTTGTTAACTTCGTGTATTTACTGGATTTCTCCGTATTGAGCGTTTTCAACCGTTTTCTTACTAACGCTATAGATAGAATTAAGTAAAATCAGAAACGACCGAATCCAACTTCATCCTTAAAATATCCCCTTCATTTTTTTGCGAACTCAAGAATGACATTTTCACTTTTAAAATTAAGGATTAGAAAATGTTTTTGAATATTGCTTTGTAGATTTGACTTAGCAAAAAATCCAATTTGGGTGAAACACTAAAATAGCTTTTGATGCAAAAACTAAAAAGTAATAAAAAATGCATACTTCTAATTTTATGCTTTTTCCCTCCGACATCCAGAATGATAGCCTTGTTATTTTTATCTGCTGGGATACAAATCTGACTTGTCTCAGAGTAATTCCGGTTCATTGCCACGGACGTGTGTCGGCGATGCTCAAACCTGAAACAAAAATAAAGAATTAAAGGGATTGTAAGTGTAGGTTCAAGTGACCCCTCATGCAAAGATGCACATGCCCGATTCACAAAGGCACCCTTGAAATCTGTATTAATAATGTGGAAGATATTGTCGCGTTTTCATGTTAAAAAGTTTCTAATTTTGAAAAATTCCTATAGATTTTCTTACAGTAGAAATGCCCAAGTCAATTTTGTAGAGAAAATTAATAATTGAAAATAATCAGCTTTCAAAATTATAAACATTGATATCTAAGTCATACTTAATAAGACATATCGTTGTGAATCTGGCATTGCCATCTTTGCATGGAAGGTTACTTAAAATTACACTTACTGTTCCTTTAAATATATGTTTCAAAACACTCAAATCAATGGTTTACGACATCAGGTTACAAAATTGAAAAAATTTGAGATTGTGATAAATGTTCATTTCTATTCATTAAAAGAATCTGTATGATTGCATCATTAAGATAAGAAATTTAAAAATTAATCATTTATTTTCTCCAAATGTTTCGGCTGCTAGACAATAATTTTATTATAGGTTGCTTGAAAACAGGGAAGGCACAAAATGAAAAACCCTCACATTTTTGTTTAAATTTTTTTTTGTATTATTTATTTCCCCCCCAAAACTAACTAAAGCAAATTGCTCGTAATATTGAAATCTTTTATCGTTTTCAATCATAACTCCTCTTATAGAAGATCTATTGAGAAGAAGAAAATTGATTAACATATCACCAGAAAATAACTCCTCTTATAGAAGATCTATTGAGAAGAAGAAAATTGATTAACATATCACCAGAAAATAACTCCTCTTATAGAAGATCTATTGAGAAGAAGAAAATTAATTAACATATCACCAGAAAAATTAGGTTTTCTCATACTTATGCATGAAATCTAAACTAAATGTACTACAATTATAGGGGTTTCAACGCTAGTGGATTTTACTTGCGCGCAATTGCGAGCCCTTTAATTCCACGCAATTTGGCGCAATTCTGCACAATTCCGCGCAACTTGGGACTCGATTATTTTAATTCTTGTATCTGCTGCATAAATTTGTAAGTCACAGTTAAAATTATTGATTTTTAGATGGAAAAGCAATTCCGTTGCGCGCAATTCTGCGCAATTCCGCGAATATTTAATTGCTTCCTTGTTTGTAATTATAGCGCAATTGCGCGCTATAAAATGGCGCGAGCGGATGCAACCATTCCGCGCAACAGAATTCCGATTGGAAACCCTAGCTACGAAGTCACAGCGATTATACCAGTAATGTCGGATAAATTTTGTCTTCTCCTTATGTATTGTTAACAGTGGGTACACTTTTTTGTATACAAATTTACGAGGGTGGTTAGACAAATTCATATCTATTTAACACATCCCCCCCCCACAACCTCCGGAATTGGGGAGGGATTACGTCTAAAGGTTGTCAATTATTGAAGGTGAAATCAGAACAGGGTTTAGGGAAAACAAAATGAAAAGTAAAATCATTGTATAAAAATAATTTGTCTCCTTTACAGTACAGTACAGAAATTGTGTCACGTACAGAGCATGGACATTGTACAGAGCATGCACATTGTACAGAGCATGCACATTGTACAGAGCATGCACATTGTACAGAGCACGCACATTGTACAGACCATGTACATTGTACAGAGCATGTACATTGTACAGAGCATGTACATTGTACAGAGCATGTGCATTGTACAGAGCATGGCATCTCAATTTGTCCAATCTATGTAATTACCGACAAAGGATAAGACTTTAGCGACAACGATTAAAAATATCATTTATAGACTTTATTAAAGGAAAAGCTTAAGCTCCGCCTTAGAAACGTTAGATCAAAAGAACTTTAGATCATCATTAAAGTCTTAACCTTTGTGGGTTACCCTGTATCTCCATGGTCAAAGTTGACAGACGTAAAGAGTAAACGCTAGTTTTAAATATGAATTAAATTTTATTTTTTATTTTGTGACTATATTAACTCTAGAATTTTACTTTTAAAGTTTGGTTTACGACTAAATGCCGTAAATTATTTCAAGGATTAACATTGACCTTCAAGTCGTCTTGCTATTGTCATGTTTCGTGGGACACCCTGTAAGTCTACTATTAATCGCTATTATTTAAATTTTGTCAGAGTTGAAAAAAACCTTGAATGTATAAAACCACGAAACTATGCTCATCAATTTTTTTTGAATAAGAATCATAATAATACAACTTTTACAATTTTACCTATTTACATTTGAGGTTTAGACAAAAAGAATGTCCCCAATGATTAAAATTTCTTTGTACTTATTGTAAAAGATTTAGGTATTTAAAGTTACAAGGAAGAACAAATATTTGTCTGGTAATTACCTAGAACATGATTTCCGAATCTAAATGATGAAAGGAAAAAATACATTTACGTAATCAATTCCTTCTCTTTCTAAATAGGATAATGAATGAGAAAAAAAATACAATTACAAAATTATTGAACCTTCACTTTAGAATCTATACAATTTGCTTACCTATATACTATACAGATGGAAACTTTTAAATAATTACAACACTTTTAAAACCTTATTTAGACATCTGATTTAAATGATTTTACGTATAGAAAAAGTTTGGGAGTAGATTGAATATGTTTCATCAAATTTAACCTTCTTTTACCTAAATCATAACGTTCTCATACCGACATCTTAACGCGGTACACTTAGTACACCACCAGTTCTGTAGGCCTTCCTATTAACCTCATCCTACATTCGTGTAAACATTTCTTAAACTTAGACATTTGGGTTCTATTCCACAGAGACCAAAATATTGATAACCCGTTATCAGAGAAACATATATTTGTTTGAGGAAGAGTATTTTCTTGAACCAAGACATAATTGTGTTCTCCATAACCAGTGTTAACTATAAAAGCAATTTGTTAATACCTTATGGAACACTTGGTTTCCTTGTTTCAACAAAAATACAGAGTAGGTTTCTCGCACCCACTGAACCCACTGCCACTGCAGCTAGGACCAAGAGAGAGGTCGTATTTTTTGCCCTTTTGGTTCACTATGTAACTGTAAGTTTATCTATAGAGGCTGACTGACTGATGGTGTCGAGAATATTTGAACTTATCAACATTTGATTTTTTAATGAGCAAATTAATATTTTTCTTTTATAAACAGGTTTAAAACCTTCTCCAGCAGGTCAGGCGCTGATTTTCCACAGAAGTCTGTTGATAAAAAAATTTTCCTTTTGCAATATTTTTCAGGTTTGAACCCTTATACAAGTTTCTGGTTGGTCCCTTTTGTACAGTAGGCAAACTAGGACAGTTAAAATAGTTTCCTTCTACATATAAATTTGGCATGTCTGGGTGTCTGGGTGTCTGTTTGTTTGTTTGTATCCAATAAACGTCAAAACGGCTGAACCGATCGGGCCCACATTTTTTGTGGGACGTCACGTAACCACAGGAAAGGTTTATGATGATGAATGATAAAAAAAAAAATGTGTTTGAAAGGTTTTTAATTTTGTAAAAAAAAAAAAATTCTTGAAAATCTTTTACCGTTATAAGCGACTTAAATTTTGTTCATACCTTTGTTGACAATTCCAAAGTTTCACCTTTTAATTTAGAAAAATCTCCTCAAACATATTTAGAAAAATCTCCTCAAACATATTTAGAAAAATCTCCTCAAACATATTTAGAAAATTCTCCTCAAACATATTTAGAAAAATCTCCTCAAACATATTTAGAAAATCCTCCTCAAACATATTTAGAAAAATCTCCTCAAACATATTTAGAAAAATCTCCTCAAACATATTTAGAAACATATTTAGAAATTTCAAAAATGCTGCCATTTCTTTTCCTATTTGTTTAAATTGTGCTTATAACCTAAGGATGTAACAGTTCTCAGGTTTGATTTCAAGCAAAGGAATTAGTCTTGCCACTAACTCTTTCAAAACCAATGTCGTAGATCTTAGAAATTTCAAACTATGAATATGTTTGACTAATTAATCTAAGTTTGAATAATGAAAGGATTACGCCATCAGGGATTAAAAAATTGGAGTATGTGGCAAAGCCTCAATTACTTCTAACAAGTTTAAATTTAACCAAAGTGCCGGATCAAGCTGAAGAGAAGTGGTTCAATTTGATCTACGTAGTTCAACCACTTCTTCCATTCATTAAATCTATAGTCTCTCAAGTTACTTTGTACAATTTAAAGAATGATTAGAACTTATAACTCCAGGCTGATAAAGTTACTTGAAATGAGTTTAAGAATCTTAATTTCAAAGTTTGTAAAATCTTAATTATAATGTCTAGTTTGCTTCTAAAATATACTTATCAAACATTTATAAAATTTTAAATAATGGTTCATAAGAACCTAATCTATTTTGCTCATATATTTATTATATGTTCGCTATTGGCACACCGTGGGTTCACAAAGGCTAAAAAAAATTGGAAATTTGGAAATTCCAATTCAGCTAAAAAATTAAAAATTTTCGAAATTCCATTTCAGCTAAAATTATGATTTAATGCCAAGTGTGGCTAACCGTCCGGATTTGACTTTGAGTAATATATTAAACCTGAGCATCGCCGGGCACATCAGGTAGTAAAAGTTAAAACAATTACCAAGGTTATGCAGATTTAAAGTGTAAACTATTATTGAACAGTTACCACTTAGAAATTCTATCTTTATCTTCCCAGATTAAAGCGAATAAAAAAATCTTTGGTTTAGCGGACTTTAATCTGATTAATACAGTGTCTAAGCATTTTACTTCATGTTTAGGAACCAAAAATTTAAGAAAGAAGGCTGAACAAATGCTCATTCTTGGTGGGACTGTAGTGCAGAAATGATTACTTTTAAAAAACTACAGTTTTATTATTTTATATCCGGTTTTATAACTTTGAAGTTGTTTTTCAGTATAGTTTCAGTAGAAGTAAATATTTCCATTTACTGTTCGTGCCGATATAAGGATTTATCTCTAATTGGATGAAGAGATAGATAGAAAGATAAATGTTACCGCCATACAATTTCTATTGGTTCAGAATAGATAACAAACACATGACTGAACCCTGATTGGCTCAGGCGCTAATGGAATCGGCGGCATACAAGTGTGTTTTGGTTTTTGGACGTTGAAATGACCGACCTTATGTTGAAACCAAGCTAGAGTTTCCAACGCAAGTGGATTTTACTTGCGCACAATTGCGAGTACTTTAATGCCACGCAATTTGGCGCAATTCTGGACAATTCTGCGCAACTGAATTCCGATTGGAAACCCTAAATCAAACACTTAGTGAGATGTAAAAATGTTTGTTTTAATAAATCATTTGTTGTGTGGATCAATGGATGTTTAAAACTTCAGTCATAAATACGATTGAACTAGATAACAAGGCTTTACTTGCACCATCATCAGTCCAAATATAGAAGTATACAGGTATAAAAGGGAGTGACCGGCTATGTAAGGTAGTTGAACTGAGTATGCAGTGTTGTTGAAAACTTTTTTTGGATTCATTTGAAACATATTACACTTTTTAAAGATCTGTAAATCCTGAGTTTAAGCTCAAATTCGACGTTCAAAACTCCTACTTTGGGAGTGAATACGTTTTAGAATTAATTTTTTTAAATTATTAATTAACGACGACCTAAAATGTAAAAAAGTCCTACAATAAACTAAAGACGTCATGTATAGGAACATTTTGAGAAAATAAGATTAATCTTATCATAGAAAATAAGTAATCTTATTTAATTTATTAGTTTCTATTTCCTTATTACTCTGGTTTCTCATTATTTACAAAGATTTTCGCAGATTTTCTAGAATTAGTATTGAAAAGACGACATTTGAAGAATTTGAAGAAATCTGCGAATAAGTTCAAAGAAAATAAGAAATTCAATATAATAATAAAAACGAAATAATCTTTTAAGGATCTGTAAATCCTGAGTTTAAGCTCAAATTCGACGTTCAAAATTCCTACTTTGGGAGTGAATACGTTTTAGAATTAATTTTTTAAAATTATTAATGAACGACGACCTAAAATGTAAAAAAGTCCTACAATAAACTAAAGACGTCATGTGTAGGAACATTTTGAGAAAATAAGATTAATCTTATCATAGAAAATAAGTAATCTTATTTAATTTATTAGTTTCTATTTTCTTATTACTCTGGTTTCTCATTATTTACAAAGATTTTCGCAGATTTTCTAGAATTGGTATTGAAAAGACGACATTTGAAGAATTTGAAGAAATCTGCGAATAAGTTCAAAGAAAATAAGAAATTCAATATAATAATAAAAACGAAATAATCGATTTTAGCATTGATTTATTGACAAATTTCTTTTGAGAAATATGTTCCTAACCATCCAATTAGAATACTGTATAATTAATACTTTATTTTTCGTTGTCGTTTTTCAATAATTAAAAAAAAACTAATTCTGAAAACGTATCCACCCCAAAAGTAGGAGCTTTGAACGTCGAATTTGCGCTCAAACTCAGGATTTACAGATATTTAAAAAGTTAATTTGTCTCAAATGAATCCGAAAGAAGTTTTCCACAACATTGCATACTCAGTTCAACTACCTTCATAGCCGGTCACTCTCTTTAAAAAAAATTAAAAATCAACTCAAATCTGATTATAATATAGATATTATCAATAGCTAGAAAGGTCTTCGTTCGTCTCCTCAGATCGTAAATTCGTAGCAGATATTTTTATGTAAAAAAACTGACGATGGTTCAAAACTGAGGCTCTGCGTAGAATTTTTAATTTTTGTTTTTATAAATTTCTTAGCAACCTGATATGTCAAACTTTGACAATTTTTGTTAGAGCAGTATTCATAGTTTAGAATTTAAAAGGTCCATGATATTATAGTTTCAGTAGAAGTAAAGAAAGAATCAACTCTCTAATTGGATAATGAGATAGATAGAAAGATAGATGTTACCGCCATACTATTTCTATTGGTTCAGAATAGACAGCAAACACATGAGTGAGTCCTGATTGGATCAGGCGCTAATGGACTCGGCATACAGGAGTACGAAATCAGATTCAGTTCCTTTCGGAATTATAGAGAGCAATATTTGTTACTGGATAGTTAGCTTTGTCACACAAAATATGATAATTTAAAAACTACCAAGTAAATTATAGAAAGAAATATTTGTGTGCTTGATAGTTAGTTTTATGGTGATCAAATATAGATTTGTCCAACAAAATATGATAATTTAAAAACTACCAAGTAAAACATTGACTATGTTAATATTTTTACTAAAATTAAAACTGCTCGTAATGAATATTTCATATTAGATAAAGGTCTGTTTACTTACGGGGTGTCCCACAGAACATGACAGTTGGTAAATAATTTGGAATGTCATCTTCCCTATACTTTAATAGATATTAAATACTTTTTGCACTATTTTCGTTCAATAAAATCTTTTACTAAAATATATTTTACTTTGAAATCAATTTTATAATAATATGACTACCATTAAATATTTTTATATTTCTCTTTGGTATTAAACAACTTAAGTAATTATGGAAGAAGACATTTTAAATTATTCAGCAACTCTCATGTTTCGTGGGACACCCTGTATATCCTGTGTCAGAGTAATTTGTTTTTCCAAAGTAATAAAATCAAAGTTTTTAGGAATAAAAACTCTTAAAAACAATATTTCTCAGGAGTTTGTGGAGCCTCTAAAAGTAAAAGCCTTGAATTTTTAAAAAATGGATCCTCAACTTCCAATCTATTAATTACCTGGCGGAAAAGGTTGAAGAGTCCAATCTTCGTAATTCATTCATCTTAGAGTTCTAAAAACAATTAAACCAAATTAGAGGAGTAGAAATTAAAGTTCTTAAAACCGGTATTTAGCCCTATAGTTAACTATTTTTTGATCCTAGTAAACCGTTTTTCAATCCTAGTAAACTAGTTTTCAATCCTAGTAAATCAATTTTTAACCCTAGTAAACCAGTTTTTAATCCTAGTAAACGGGTTTTCAATTCTAGTAAACCAATTTTCAATCCTAGTAAATCAATTTTTAATCCTAGTAAACCAGTTTTTAATCCTAGTAAACCAGTTTTTAATCTTAGTAAACCAGTTTTGAATCCTATAGTAAACCAATTTTCAACCCTATTAAACCAGTTTTCAATCCTAGTAAACCAGTTTTCAATCCTAGTAAACCGGTTTTCAATCCTAGTAAACCGGTTTTCAATCCTAGTAAACCGGTTTTCAATCCTAGTAAACCGGTTTTCAATCCTAGTAAATCAATTTTTAACCCTAGTAAACCAATTTTTAATCCTAGTAAATCAGTTTTCAATCAAGTAAACTGGGTTTTAATCCTGGTTGACCGATTTTCAATCCTAGTAAACCGGTTTTTAATCCAAATAATCTTCAATCATACATCCTATAGAAGGCCGGGGGGCCGCCATGAGCCGCAGCAGCCCTTACAGTATCTTCCACAAATTTTTATATATTCCTGTTATAATGTTGTATAACAAATATTATATATTCCTGTTATAATGTTGTATAAAAGATATTATATATTCCTGTTATAATGTTGTATAAAAAATATTATTTATTCCTGTTATAATGTTGTATAACAAATATTATATATTCCTGTTATAATGTTGTATAACAAATACTATATATTCCTGTTATAATGTTGTATAACAAATATTATATATTCCTGTTATAATGTTGAATAAAAAATATTATATATTCCTGTTATAATGTTGTATAAAAAATATTATTTATTCCTGTTATGATGTTGTATAACAAATATTATATATTCCTGTTATAATGTTGTATAAAAAATAAACAAATAATTCTTTAAAGACAAAAGTCCTAAAAAGATAAATCCTGTTCCGAAAACAGTCAACTAAACTTCTCCTTTATTTGAAATCATTCCAATAAGTTTTTAAGAGTAGAATTGAAGAAAGAATTGCTTGAAGACAATAAAAAATGGCCGTATAATTCAAGAAAACCAACAGGTCTGGCTTAATACAAAAACGAAGCGAGCAAACTTACTTTGAGTGGAAGTTTGTTAGGTATTGAATTGTTTGCAGATTGTTGAATTTTCTCCCCCTGGGATAGGGTTGATATATTCTCAGCCATGTTTAATCTTTACTCCAGGATACAGTTACACCCTCCTCCCACCAATCCTGGATACTAACCAACAACAAACACATTGTCTCGAGAAATCTGAAATTAATTTATATATAAATTTGACTGGTCCGTCTGTCTGTTCGTGTACAATAAACGTCTAAACGGCTGAAACAATCCGGCCTGAATTGTCTGTGTCAACACGTGACCCCAGGGAATGTTTGTAGATGGTCAATATTGAAAAATGTTGTTTAGAAAAATGTCTATTTTAATTATTTCTAAAATCAACCAATTTAACCAGAAAAATCCGCAATTATGTACTTGTTTCTTGTAGAGCACTATTACAAAATGGCGACTTAAAAAGCAACAGTTAAAAGTTAAAATTGTTACTGAAAAAGGGATGTCGAGATGTGCGAAGTGCCCTAAGGTTGTCTATATTCACATAATTATGACAAAAACCTTTAATTAAGATAAAAAAAATCATTAGAAAATTATTTATTATGTGACTAAATTGGTTTGAAAAATATTTACAGTACATTGATAAAAAAGATATCGTCGTCTTCCTTTTTTTAAAGTTAATATGACGTTTACAGATTATATAGTAAGAAATGTACTATGTTATATATTAATTTTATTTTTGCGTGAGTCCCTCAAGGAAATCTTATTAATTGATAAAAGAATGGATACTAAGATAATTTTTTTAAGGTTCTTTAAAAATCATGGAAAATGATTCTGAAGAAATCCCATGGCTAAAAAGTCATTGGACAATTTTTTTTCTTCGAAATTCCATAATACATAAATATGAACTAATTTGTTGAATAATTTTTAACTAAATCTAAAAGCAATATCCAGGACGCCAATCAAGTTTAACTGGTTTGACAAAAGAAAACCACGAGCCACAGCTGGAGACACTTCAAACTTTCAAAAATGGAAATATAAATTTACTTTTGATTTGGATCATAGGGAAAACACATAAAGCAGGTCCGATAACGATATTTTTAATGTTAAACCTTGTACAGATGTCTGAAGGTTAATCAGATTAAAACATAATATCATGGATTAGGTTTTCTTATCAATATATAGGCAACTGTGTCTGAATCTAATATGTGTTTTCTTGAGAAAGCGTATGACGTGAATCCTAATATATAAAATGTTTGAAAGGAAATGAACTAGGTTGGTATCGGAACCGGATTCAAATTTTCTGAGTTTTGTTTGACTTCCATTTTTCCTTTCAGCAGCAGTCCAGTTCAGAGTTTTTATCAGATTAAATACTGCAGGGGAACCAACGGAAGATATTTGGGTTCCTGAGGAACCAACAAAAGATATTTGGGTTCCAGAGGAACCAACAGAAGATATTTGGGTTCCAGAGGAACAAACAGAAGATATTTGGGTTCCAGGGGAACCAACAGAAGATAATTGGGTTCCAGGGGAACCAACAGAAGATATTTGGGTTCCAAAGGAACCAACAGAAGATATGTGGGTTCCTAAGGAACCAACAGAAGATATGTGGGTTCCAGGGGAACCAACAGAAGATATCTCGGTTCCTGGGGAACCAACAGAAGATATTTGGGTTCCAAGGGTACCAACAGAATATATCTCGGTTCCTGGGGAACCAACAGAAGATATATGGGTTCCTAAGGAACCAACAGAAGATATATGGGTTCCAGGGGAACCAACAGAAGATATCTCGGTTCCTGGGGAACCAACAGAAGATATTTGGGTTCCAAGGGAACCAACAGAAGATATTTGGGTTCCTGGTTAACCAACAGAAGATATTTGGGTTCCATGAGAGCATGTAAAAGATATTTTGGTTCTAGGGAAACCAAACAAAGATGTTTTGGTTCCAGGGGAACCAACAGAAGATATTGATATGTCAGTTAAAAAAGAAGTAGATATATTGGTTTCAGAAATCAGAAAACTTATCTGGGTTCTCCAATAGTAAATATTTGGGTTCCAAGAGAAACGAGAAAATCTATCTGGGTTCTCAAATAGAAGAAATCTAGTTTCTAGAGCAACAAGATATCTGGGTTTTGGGGTAAATATCTGGGCTCCTAGAGAATAAAAAGAAAATCTGTCTCTAATAGTAAATATCTAAATTTGAGAGAAACAAGAAATGCTATCTGATTATCTGTGTTCTTTAAGAGTAGATATCTGGGTTCTGAGATAAATGAGAAACTTATCCGGGTTCTGAGATAAATGAGAAAATTTAAAAGAAAATATCTGGGCTTCAAAAGATATATAAAGCTTTCTGGAGGTTCTGATAGAAAATATCTGGATTTTAGAGAAACAAGAAATCTGGAGTTTCAAATAAAATAAAGAAAACTATTTTGTCTTCTCTTACTTATACTATCTGGGATCCCCAAAAAAAGTTATCTGGGTCCTCTAATAAAAACATATATCTGGGTTCCCAGAGAAATAAGAAAAGCTATCAGGGTTCTCTGCATGTATATACCGGTTGCCGAATTTAATGAATTTGAGCTAGATAAACAAGGAAAATAATCTGGGTTCATTCAAAACGATGAGACAATATATCCAGGAGTATTTAGATCAGTATTCTGATTCCAAGTTGCTGGAGAATGAAAAACCTAAATGGACCTATATAATTTACTTTCATAGATTAAATTATATTTTTGATAAAATCAAATCAAATATATTTCTTATTCAATCCAATTCTTCAGCTAATCCAATAGGATGTTATCCAATCCACTTTATACTTCTCACTCAAATAGATTATTAAGTACAATAGGTGGCAACAGAGAGATGAACCAATTATACACCACGTCACAAGTGTCAAATATAACAAGGAAAACGAAATTTTCACATATTTGTTTACATGGTTTCCAAGATTAAGTAAAACGTGTTAAAACAGAAAATAAAGAACACATAAAATTGCACTTATTTTACTGTAAGATAAGCACTTTATTCTAAAATTATCAATATTATTAATAATTTTGTCGGACACAAAAACTAAGCTGACACTTGTGACATCAGAGAGTGTACACATTCTACGTTGCCATCTATTGTACTAGACTGTATTTGAACCTGCCTGCTTTCCAATAATAATTATCCAACATAAAGTTTAAATTTTCGAAATTTACATCTCCTTGTCACAGCTGATTTGACGGCATTCTGTCTGCTACAGAGAGAAAGCTTCCAAAACAGTCTCTCATTGGTCGAATCAGAATTAATCCTGACTTGGGTTCTATCTAAGCCCGAGTTTGGGTTTTACTCGGGTTTAGGCTTTAAAATCTCATCTCTGGAATCTATTTGCTTCTCACTTAGAATCCCCTTTTAAAAATCAAATTCATGATACAATGATAATACTTTTCATAAGACTTAATATTTTTCCAGAAATAATGGACTGTCTCAATTAAAACATAAAGGTTGTTTGACTTTTATAATAATATATAATAATTTTACACAACTTTCACTTTTTCCGAGAAACCAAAAAAGAAAATAATCAGTTGAACAAAAAACAAAAAAAAACATGGATATCTAATTATACATGTTCAGACAGCGGTCAACATTGTTAATCGGACATTACCATGGAGGATCACTTGAAATTACGCTCAAAGCCCTTTTAATAATGGGCTAACACTGATTTTTCCTCAATTGCAAATACACCCCTTGAAGTGTATAAACCCACATAAAAAAAAACACAATATAAAAGCAATCCTTTGAACTGATACTTCTCAATAAAATACTAATCTACATTTATAAAACACGGTTTCCGATACCGTGGATCATGGTCAAAATAAATCAGATGAGGGACCGAGTTTAAGGAATTGGAGAGCTCGTTGAACTACCGAACACCGATGGTTCAATCCTCATGAAACTTTCCGATCTGGCTCAGATCCATTTATTATAATATTTCATTCGAATTCGATCCTTTACTGATTCAAAATATTTGTTCGAGACTTAAATTAGCTTTAGTAAAAACAGGAATTAGAAATAAATAAAATTCTTTTTATCTTAGAAAAAAGTTTCATACAAAACAAGGCGGATTATATACACAAAGTAGAACAATAACAAGATTAAAAGTTGAAAAGTATACGAACATATTTATGATGGTTTATTTCTTGTTTTTTTCTATATTTTTCTCTACCCACTTACAGTTAAATCCTAAATAAGCCATACATCGAAAGAATTTATCAAATGTCGTCTTGGCAATTTTACAATGGATTTTATACTATTTTACTTAAACCTCAGTATTTGCGAAAATAAATAAATAGCCATGAATATGCGAGGACAGTTTTAAAAGGCTCCATATAATCATTTAATTAAAAAACTAAATATCTGCAACATTCCATTATCAGAAAGTGAAGAATACGACATTTGATGAATTCTTTTGATGTATGGCCTATTTAGGGTTTAACTGTAGTAAAAAAGTAATGTTTGCATATATTTTTATTCTGTAAATTATTTTCAACATGTAACATAATTTAAAATTTTCGTATTTTTTTCAGTGTATTCGCCAATTTAGAAAATGTCCAATATTTTCAAATAATTGTTTTCATATTTTTCATCAAAATGCTTGAAATGAAATGAAATTTTTTATTTTTTACTTTACAATCTATTTTGTTTAAAATGCTTTTTAGCGGATGAGGGAATCGTTCTGTGAAGAAAAATAACAAAAATAAACGAAAAACTACAAAACTACAATATGATACATTAGCATTTTAAACGGACATATATCGCCAGTTTATTGATTTGTTTTGCTAAACCCTCCTCCTCGAAAAAGGCGAAAGAAAGTAATCGTTTAATTTTTTCTTCTTCAAATTTCAGACTTTAGGTAAGGTGATTTCGTGACATTTAATCAAAAATTTAATATTTAATGAATATTCAAGACAATATTCTAAACATTGTTTAACATATAGACAACATTATTTAATATTTAATGAATATCTCAAACTTTTCATCAACGATTTTACAAAGTTACTTAAAAACAATAATCTTCTGTTTATTTGAATGCGTCGGGTTATTATTGAATTAAAGCGTTGGTCAGTAAGCCTTCACTTTCAACCCTGGTCTCACCCTTCAAATACAGAATTTTTATGATTTCTATTTTAAGCGATTTGTTGGGTTGATATTATTT